AAGTGAATATATGTTAGTGTTAACTAAAGATACCAATGCCTCATATTAATAACCAGCATTGCTTTTAACTTTGGCTTCTAACTTTTGCTATAGATGGTCCAGCTGTTTTGATAATTGTATATCTTTAATGCTCAGGGAAATTTCCCTACAGCACAATGGTGGCATAGTTAACGTTCTTATAAGGGAGATCACCTTGTGAGAGAATTTGGAGAGTAACTCCCTTATGAATGTTTGAGTTTTCAAATGAGAACTTGAGGCAAAGTGAGCACTACAATATAACATTTGCACTGACATCATAGACATGTATTTTTTAATTTTTGGAGTCAAAAGAAACTTTAAAATCTTTGGCTTTGTTAATGCTTTCATGTAAAATACTCCTTTTCCTGTTTACTACCTTTCATTAAAAGCCATTATTTCTCAACCTGCTAGAATTGTTGGTGTTTTGTAAAAATTTATAAATGGGTTGGTAAGCATTTGCTGTGAGTTTCTATGATAGCTTACAACTTGGTTTGTGTCCATTCATCAAAATTATGACTTGACTCATTATGACATTGATTTAAACTTATTACTCAGTCAAGTGGTTCCGTGTTAGATGCCTGTTTTTCATTTTTAGAAGTACAGTTCATTAAATTAAAGTAATTTTCATTAATAGAATTCATATACTTCTTAAGTAGTTGAAGGAAGATGAAAGTTTTCTAAAATTTTTTCTAGTCCTTGAGATACACTGTAACTTTGATCTGCTCAGTAATTGGCCAGTTTCACTAGTTATTAGATTTCCCCTGTGTTTTTTTTTTTTTGAAAAGTGATGTTTTGGCGATGCTGAGCCTAATTTACCCAATTTACTTTTTTGTACATAGATGTGGCTAATTTTGCAGTATCTATTGTGTGAAACTCTCTGGTCTATCTCTGTTTCCTCCTAAGTCATTCATTTGACAATTAGCAGAACTTTCATCTTAACCATCCTTCCTTCCACTTTGGTTGGCATTGAGCAATGTCTCATTTGGATGCATGCTTAATTTTCCAAAATTGGCTTCTCAGTCAAATAAACAACCTCGTTCCTTTCATACAGCAAATCTTGACGTCTTTCTTTGGCCTTCCTGGGAGCATGAACTCTGGAATTGATGCTGAATGAATGTTTCCAAGAATACTGTACTCAGTATTTAGTTCTACTCTATTAACAAATTTACCTGTCTTCAGATATCATTGAAAATCACATTTTAAAAAATATGAAAAATAAATTGGAATTCATCTGGCACCAGTAATGTATTAAGATGTTGCTAGATCAATCTAAAGCATGTGTTGAACTATATGTAGGAGATTGGAAGTACTGAGTGGGTCTTAGAAACCCTGGGAGCTAGAACACTTGCTACCTACATAGTCACAGAGCTATCTACAGGTTCAGTATTTAAGCCATTTGCCAGTTCACTTGAGTAAATTTTCTGCCCTCTATTCTAAATGAAATCATGGAGTTTTTCTGTAAGGTAGAAGGAGATGCCTTTATTGTCCTTTCCGTGCATTTAAGAAAGGACAAGAAAGGTCATGGTATTAGTAAGAATGTCTGCTGGAGACTGTCCTGGTTTTCATGTTGGCATTGACTCTCTGTATCTGGTAAATGAATTTTTAATTACAGCCTGCTTTTTTATTAAGTAAATAAATCAGGGGGCTGGAGAGATGGCTCAGCAGATAAGAACACTGGCTTCTCTTGCAGAGGACCTGGGTTTGATTCCCAGCACCCACATGGTGACTGGGAATCATCTGTAACTCCAGTTCCAGGGGAATTTAATGTACATGCCTGAATGTGCATAAGTGCACCCGTGTTGTGCAGTGCCCTCTGAGGTCAGAAGAAAGCATCAGATTCTCCTGGAACTGGAGTTATGGATGGTTGACAAAGAGAGGGTTGAGAGAGATATAAATAGCTCACCTAGAACTCTCTTTATGGACCATTTAATTCACAAAATTGGCCTCCTAATTTATTTTTAAGTGCACTTAGCTTTTTTGGTTCCAATAGATTGGGTTTGCTGCATCTTACAGCTCTGTGGTTGGAACATCAATTTTCGTTCTAGTTCAGACATCTCATGTGTCAACAGCAATTCTAGAAATGATATCAAGTTCTTGATTTCAACCCTGATGCTTTTGCTGCAACATGTGATTTTGTAAGAAAAGTTCCTATCTATGTGATTGATAAATTTGGGTTGATATTGTTAAATACGAAAATGGCATCAGCTCATAGACAAATTCCTAGAGAAGAATAGGAATTTGTAAGAAAATGGCATTATAACCTTAAAAGAAAAGGAGACTGTGCCCTCGTTTGGCAGCTTCGTTCGAGAAGACACCTTTACTTTTACAGGAAAACGAAAAACATGTAACTGCTGCCAGGGCAGACCTCCCAGGGAGGTGCCTCAGCCCTTGGCAGGTGCACTTCCTGCTCCATCGACCTTCTTGGCAGCTTTTCTGTGCAGAGCTCTGCTCCCACTTGCACTGTGTCCATCATCCCTTCTCTAGTAAATGTTATCAGCATTTCATTCTTTCTCTTTTATGCATTTTAAATATCTATGGGAGCTAAAATTTGAGTTACTTGTTCTTGTGTGGTTGCCCTTTGAGCAATTTTCCCCTTACAAAAATCTTTCTCTTATTTATGAGATTTTCTAAAGCTGAAAATTAGTTGGGAAGATTTATATTAAAGAACAACAACAACAGAGACTATTCATGTATTTAAGTAGACCAGCATGCTGACCAGGTCATTCATTACAAAATCCCAAGGAACTCCAGTCACATTAACTGTGTGACCTGTTAGGCAGTGGCATTTTATGGTGTTTACACAATGCTGGTTCTTATGCAGTTTTAAAGGTTTAATAGTACTCTGAGGCCTTCATCATCACACAGCGGAGGGGCAGTGGTAAGGAGGTTCCATATCTTGTAGCATCAGGTGAGAAGGCTTTAATATCCTCAGTCACCCCAGCATAGAGTTCTTACCATGACTGTATTTTCTGCAGTTGTCTGGAATTTGATAAATGAAATTATTTTTGTCTGCAAGCCTATTATTAGTAATTTTGGTTCATCTAAATATTTCAAATTCATAATAAGAAGACTTTGTACAAATAATTTGCTCAACGATGTAAAAGAGCTCTTCAACTCACCAGCTTTAAGTTGGCATGTAAGCAAGCCATCCTTCAGAGGACCTAACTTATAAATAGAAAGCAACATTGCTCTCCATTGCTAATGGGCATTGAGGTCCAGGTTCCAAATGTCTGTTTACGGGCTAATGACACTGATGCACGCCCAGCATTTATACAGTTTTTCAGCTCAGTTGTGTCTCACTTCAGACAGGAGTGGTTTTTAATCATAAGCAGTGCTGCCTTACTAAACAGCTGAAATTCTACCTTCATGAGTTTCCAGGGAAACAGAGCTAGCAAAGAGGCGCCCAGGATGGTCACAGGGTCCGATCCTGTATCTTCTACTCTTCAGTTGGTTATTCCGTTGCGAAACCCTTCTGCACCTTGTTTTCTTAAAAGAAAAACTGCCTTTCTTTACTCTTTAAAGTTCTTTATGAAATGTCATTTAAAGGTTCTATTTATTTTTTATTTGACATGTAATTGCATCATTTCTAGACTTCAAAAGGAAACAACTATAGATACATATCTTCAAGTAACTCTCTTTAATGACAAGTTCTAAGAAATAGTTATTGAATGCCTATTAAGTTAAGGAGACTGATTGCTACTGAATGAGGGAGAATATGCTTTCCATACGTTCTCTAGATGGGATGACTAGAGTTCAGTGGATGACTTTACACTAAAGGACATCTGGACAAATGCTTGACTGGATAAGACTTAACATGTATGGCGGAATACATGAGGTCTGGTGGAGGGATGGGGGGGCATGGATGGGAAGGGGGTATCTAAATTTGATTAAGAACTGTTGTATGAAATTACAAAAGCTCGAAAAAAATTAAAAATGACACCAAAAGCATAAATAACAAAATTAATATGTATTAAATATTATATAATTCTCTTTAAAAAATGAATGTTACAAGGTCTGGGGCACACCTGTCATGTGTGAGGCCCTGGGCTCAATCCCCAGCACTGAAAGAAAAAGAGTTTTATTTAAGTATTTTTCCCTGGAAAAGCGAAAAAGCAGTGTTAGATTAGAAAATCTCATTCCCATGTGCTGTAGAAGAGACATAATAAAATGTATGTTTGCTATGAAATAAGTTTCCATATGGGCAGAAGGGAAAATATCTATATAGGAGTACAGGGTATGGTATACCTTAAAATGTTTTCAGTTAGTAAGTGCTTGTAATAGGACAACTTAAAATTCTCAAGAAGATTTAAAATTTGGTAGGCAAAAGAAGACGTAGGCTTATTAGTGCCCACTCTATGTACAGTTACATTTCGGGGTTTTTCCATTAAGGGTCTCACATTAGCTTTCATTTAACATAAATTATCTAGCAAAACTTCACTAATTTGGAAGGATGATCATGCTGAGATCATTTAAATTTTCATGAACATGTTTACCAAATGGTCTTTTGAATATTTTCTAGAATACTAACATTGCTTAAAACATCATTCTATAGAAAAACAACTGGAGTTTATTTCAGAAATAGATAATTATTGTTAGAGATGCCAGTTATTCTAAAATACTCTACTTAAGTAGTTACTTTCCTTTAGTTTTGTTTTGTTAACTTCTTAAGACATATGCTAAGAAATAGCTAACCTTGTTGCAGATTATAAATTATATTGAATTAGTGGAATCATGTTTTTATGTGACTGGCATAAGTTGAAATAGAATGCTGTTGTGTTATGTATTTCAACATTACATTTTTTGTTGCTTATTTACTATATATTTATAATGAAGGATTCATTCACCTATTAGATATTTATGACATGACTTGAAACACATGTAGAAATTAGTAATGTAAGTTAAAACAAAATTCTTAAAATGCTGAGCTGTTCTTTTTTAAAGTTGTGGGTGGAAGACAATAAAGGTGCCCTTGTATTTTGCAGGTGCATTTCATTGATTTTGCATTAGTACCACTTGGTCAGAAAATGGAAAGCCTGATGTGGATTAGGGAATTTGCAAAGGAAGTGAAAGAAAAGAATATTTTATTATGTGGCCTCCTCATAAATTACTCACAGGTATGTAAGATGTCTACAAATGCATGTTTTTTGTACTTTTAATAATAGAAAGCTGACTTTGATAGAGCAAATGGATGTTGATGGTAAGGAAAATAACTGTAAAATTACTCATCTGGGGCTAGGGACAAAGCTCATTGGCTAAAGTATTTGTGCATCAGCATGAGACCTGAGTTTGACTCTCAAACACCCATGTAAAAATCTAGATGCAGAGGCACGTGTCTGTATTCCTAGTGCTCTTCTGGTGAGATGGGAAATGGAGACGATACCCTCCACAAGTTTGTGTGCCAGCTAGCCTGGTTATGCAGGACTGAATCCAGGGCCTTGTGTTTACTAGGCAAGTGCTACCCCCTTTAAAAATATATATAATAGTGAAGATGTTTCACATATATGAGTACTTAAAATATACGGTTTCATTTTTCCTTCAAACATACAAGTACACATTGACTCAATAGCTTAATACCCTCTTAAGCACATCATTATGTTTAAAGTAGGCTTTACCAGGGGATGATAAAGTTAGGAAGTGCTGTTAAAAATTATGGTTAAAATTTAAGAAAAATCATTAAAGAAAGTTGCATGGATTTGCTTAAAATTCAGCATGCCTCACAAACTCACAGAACACTGATGAGCATTTCCACCACTGAATTGGTTAAAATTGAGAATGCTATTTTCCATTCTACTCCAGTAACCCCCTAATTATAGCCGACTAGTGAAATTAAAACTCCCCAGAGACAACTTTGGAAAACTGCCTTTGTAATATGTCTTAAGAAACTACTCCCTTCTGAACACTCTTACTCCTGTATGAATCTTTCCATTTAATTTAGTATCTCTGATATTCAGTACTTTTATGACAGGTGCACTGTTCTCTCAATGCTAAAAGTATATGAGGTATACGAGGTAAAAATTTTCTTCACTGTATACTGACACATTAAGATGGTGTGGGTTTAACTGCATGGTAGTCTTCACATATTAGGCTTTGATTCTGTAACCTAATCTTTCTGGAAGAATGTATTAGCATTTTTCCTACATCACTACTGGGTATTCCTAAAAGTGAGAGCAGCCTTGTTGGATTTTTTAACCATTTTTCTTAGAATGTGTCACCAAGTGCTACTTCTTTGGAGATATTTTCTTTGTGGTATCAGTAGCTAATTGAAGACAGCATTAACTGATTAGATTTCAAAATATGGGCTATACATATGCTTTTTGGGGCTTCAGGAAGATGTGCCCTTTTCCGTATATGATATGTATTTCTGATAGTGTAGACAGTCTTTGGTTTTTTTGGCTATAGATTCACAGTGATTTATTTGTGTGATGTTTACAATTAAGGAAGATTGTATGGGCTTTCTAAAAATTTTTGCATCTAGAAAAAATTCTTTTAACATCCGACGCTAACATCTGATGCTGCGCCTCCTGGTTTTCATTGTATATACTCCTTTTATAATTGTATTAACTTCACGTGATTGGGGAGTTTATACTTGCTAATTTTGTTTTATTGTTTCAGTCTTATCATGTTTGATTCATTATGTAATATGGATATAATTTCCTCATGTATAGAACTTAAAAATCAGTTGCCGATAGTTTTTGTGTATCCTAACCCAATTTGGAAAAGAACGATTGATCCCTTTTCTTATAATGATCAATACTTGATCATTCTTCGATAAGTATCTAACTATAACCTCTTATGTCTCTCTGGATATTCTTTATATCACAAAAACTTTGCATATCTTTTCTAAACTCCAGATATGCCCATATGCCTGCATTTTTCACGGGGCGGATACCATTTGTGAGATTGCCGAGTGTGCTTGATTCGTTAGCTGTGTTGATGTAATTAAGCACCAAAGAACTTCTAAAATTCATTTTCAAATATTCCAGTTACTGAAGCAAGGAAAATAATCATTTAAAATGACTTCCTTGTGAATAGTTTAAGCTTAGACCTCTGGGTCATGCTATTGATTTGTCTTTTATATGTAGTCTAGAGATTTATGAATTGATGTCATTCAGTGGTCAATTCCTCATGTTGCCAGGTAGTTAGGAAAAATTTGAAATCTCTTCTCTGAACTCCAAGTGTACTATCAAGTTTGCCCCCTAATTCATTGAATGAATTTAAATCAGGGCTTTCTAGAAATATACTATATATAAACTGGATGTTTAAAATGAGAATCTGTCATTTAATTCATATAAAGGATTTTCCTATCCCTTTAAGTGTTTAAATAGAATCTTACTCTTTGCCTGGCATGGTGGTACACACTGGTAAGCTTGTCATGTGGGCAGCTAGAGTAGGCTCTCACATTTGAGACCCTGTCTTATAAAACAAAATATTACCCATTATTATTCTTAATTCAATGTTGCTATGCAAGTCACTGAGTTCTATAGCACAAAATCATATTGAAGGAACATGTTCAGTCTGAAAATCAATGTGTGGTATAATTGGAAATTTATTAAGATCTAATATTTAAACCATGAAATTCTTAAGCCAGCAACAGAGTTTGCAGACTTAATTTTATTGATATCTAAAATATTTTACAGTGATTCTTAATTCAAATATTTACAAGTGTACATTTTCTATAAATTTTATATATGAACTATGATTAAACTTTTAAGGTCTATAAAATTTATAAAGTCTGGCGGTAGTTTTCTACTTGGTATGTGTATTTTACAAGCTCAGGAATTAGAGGTGGAAGCCAGTATACGGGTTCAAGGTTAAAGACTTTTCTGTAACTGTAACTGATTGTCCAGCTGAACTAATTATTCACTTCTGAAACTGAAGAAAAAACCCAGCCATATAACTTTAGATACGTTATAAAAATTTTTTAGGTCACAGATGCTGCATTTGTAAAATTTACACATCAGAATATGTCCATTAAAACCATGGTATGAAGGACGCCATGTGTGGTGTCACTTGCCTTTACGCCCATCACTGGAGAAAGAGGATTGTTAGTTTGTGATCAGCCTGTTTATATCATGAAGCTCTGTCTCAAGTAAACATATAAAAACCACAAAACAAAACTAAATGTGTAGTGAACAAGAATATGGAGACCCAGGTGATGTGCTTGTTCGTCCAAATGACACTGTGCACATCTCACTCAGACAAGTGTTAAACCTGAAACCCAAGTCTAGTTTTTCTTCCCTTTTCATGTATGACCATGAGATTTACTGTACTATTTTCTATATTTCACTTGCAAATGATTATATTTAATATATTGTAGTATAGTTTGAGAGGGAAGGAGAGGGAACATTTTTTTAAAGACATCACAATAAACTTAAAATGTAAGGCAACAAGAGGGAGGTTAAGGTCTAGCCAGGGTGGAGTGGATAAAATAGTAAACTTTTCAGGAGTGGAGAGATGGCTTAGTGGTTAAGAACACTAGCTGCTTTTGCAGAGGATCCGGCTTCGATTTACAGCGCCCACATAGCAGCTAACAACTGTCCATAACTTCAGTTCCAGGGGGAATACAATGCTCTTTTCTGACCTCCATGGGCATTGTGCGACACAGGTGGACTTACATACATGCAGGCAATACACTCATATGCATAAAATAAAAATAATAAATAAAATATTTTTAAAAATACTAAACTTTTCATGACCGGGGCTTCTCTGTTCAGGTTCTCTTTTTTCCTTCCTGTTGAACAGTTGTTCTAGTAGGTTTGATCATCCACAGTAAGAAGTTAGAAAGCATTGCTTGACTGACTTTGTGAGCATGTTCATAGGATGGGGACATTGGAAAGGACTATGCCAGTTGCCAAGGGTACAGAAGCCAACCATGGGGACCAGGCTGCATCACCCTGGGTCTATTTCTGACTTTTTAATATTGGTATAGATAAGGAAGCCACAGAAAAATTTATCCCAGCATTTCTGTAAAGTTTTGTTTAGTAATTATTTGTGAACAGTTTATGAAAGTCAATATGTAAGTTTCCCAAAGAGGATATGGAAAAATGAAATGAAGTTTTGCTAAAAAATTAAATTAGTCTTACTTCACAAATATAGCAGATTGTTGAATTTGATGAGTTGAATGCCATCATTCTCTGTTGTCTGTGTTTTGAAGGTTGTGTGGACTCTGGAGGACATCTAAAAGGCATTCTTGACTAGAAATCTTTGTAATTACTAGGAGTGAGATTTTTTTTTTTTATTTTTTATTTTTTTGGTCTTTTTGAGACAGGGTCTCCCTATAGCCCTAGCTGGCCTGGAACTCACTACATAGATCAAGCTGGCCTTGAACTCACAGAGATCTGCCTGCCTCTGCCTCCCAAGTGCTGGGACTGAAGGTGTGTGCCATCACGCCAGGCAGGAGTGAGCTTTTAGTAAAGCATTAAGAAATACATAAACAAAGCTGGGTGTGGTAGTGTACACCTTTAGTCCTAGCACTTGGGAGGCTGAGGCAGGCAGATTTCTGTGAGATAGAGGCCAGCCTGATCTACATAGTGAGTTCTAGGCCAGCTAGTGCTTTATTGGTTTGATTTCTTTATTGTCTTTAAAAACCCCAAGAATTTAAAAAAGAGAAAAAAAAAAAAAAAGAAAGGAAAGGAAAAGAAATACACAAACAAGTCCAAGATCACGTAGATACCTTTGTCCCTGAGGATTGAATTTGTCTTTCCAGCTCAAATGCCCCCAGTTGTTCATTAACTGTTATAGTCTCATCCTTCAAGTAGGCATATGCTGACAAAAAGTTAAAAAAAAAAAAAAAGACAAAATTGGAGGAAGGACTTTGTTTCTACAGTGAGCAATTACTTGTCATTTAACTGGGGATTATTTACCAAACAACTGGTACTTTCCATGAAACTAAATCATGTGGCATGTACACCAAACATGCAACACTAAATCTTTACAGAAACCCACGATGCCCTGTTCAGAGTAATCAGGCTTTTTTGGATGTGGGAATGTTTATAGGACTAAATATTTTTCACTTTCAATATTATTTTGGACTTCATTGTTTAGAGTTAGTCATCTAGGGAAATAGAAATGTCATAAAATATATTTTCAGAGTTGTGTAAGTTTGAAAAGCAAG